TGCAAAACTAAATTTATAAATAAATGGTCAATTCTTAATGAAAACACAATCTAAAAGAAGAATGAGACTCAGAGGGAGGATTACTACAGATTAGTAACTTGTTTGGATTGATTTGGTTAAGAATTCTACCTAAATTAAGCTCAAAAAGTTTGCTCTAAAACTGAACTTCTGTGGCCTGATTTATGCCTTGAATTGCTTGGTTTAGGTGATAGAGAGTTTGTATAAGAGTGGAGAAGGATGAATCAGAAGAAAAGGCTCGAAATTATGAAATGGATTTTCAAATTTCAAGCTTCGAGTGAGACTTTGACAGGGTGAGTGTGGTTGTCTAAAGCTTGGAAAATGAATGGAGAGTGGTCTTCTATTTATAGGAGAGTGAATGATGATGAGAATTGGAAGAAACCATGGGCAAATCATACAAACCAAGCTAACCCGATAATTACAAAAAGTGTGACTCCATGTGCATCAAAAATCACCTAAATCTTGTGTTTCAATGCTTAATCCAACCTTAGCAACTTTGGTAAACATGTTTAAGTGGAAAACACACATAAATTTGGTGATTAGAAGTCACATTATGGATTTTGCAATCTGACTTAGTGAGAAAGTTTTAGTCTCAAGATACCAACTTTGCAACCATGATGCACACAACTTAGGAACCTTTATGGGATGATTCTTGAAGCATTTAAAATACAAAGTCACAATCTTTACAATGTCCCAAGAAAGTTTTCATTTGGTGATTTAAACTCAAAGTTATGATCATTTGAATTTATGAAAAACACACGGATTCTCATACTTAGAAAAATTTCTAAGTATAGAGCTTCAAAATGACCTATAAGGTTCTTCAAAGTTACAATCCTTTACACACAAATTAACTCTTGATACTTGAAGTTGAAATGAAGTATACCCTTCAAATTGAATTATGGAATTGAGATCATTCAAAAATCATAAAAATTTAAAGAGTTATGGCCTTTGGAAGATGATGAACAAATTTGGAGAAATCCATAAATGACCTATAATATTTTCAATTCTTTAAAGACTTTCCATCTCTTTTCAAGCCTTGCACCTTGAAAAAAAGTTGTAGTGGAAATCCTCAAGTTTATTTTGAAAAAATAATGAGTTCAAGGAGATAAAAGATGACCAAGTTATGATCCTTTGAAGTCACACGAGAGAATTCTATAGCTTTTCCAAAGGACTTATAATCTTCTTCAAACTTATATGGTCTTACATTAAAAATTAGCCTTATATAATTTAAGATAATTATTAAGGACTCTTCAAAGAGAATCATGGCATTGGAATAAACCTAAAATCTCAAAAAATGAGCAAGATATGGTCTTTGGAAGTCAACCAAACCCTGCCCAAAAAATACAAAAGTGACTTGTAACCCTTTTCAACTTTTGATGATTTTCCTTGAACAATTGGATTTTGTCATGTGAAGAGAAGTTGTTGTATATGATGATAAGAATCCATAGTAAAAAGAACCAACTCAAAATGTTGAAAATTGAGAGAGTTATGCACTTGTGATCAAGTATTTGTTTAATTATGTCAAACTTGTTGAATCAACCTTGAATCTTTTGAATTTTCTTGGCAAAATAAAACATGATGGATCACATTAGGCCTTGAAATGATATTATCTTGAAGCACCCTCAAAGATGGAGCTTAAGTCTCAATGAAACTTGTTGAAGAAGGCATGTAAATAAACACATCAACCTATGAATCTTCTTGATGAATGTCATTCTCTTTGAAACAAGCTTGACCTTAAATGAAATGGAGAGAGTTCTTTAAACCCAAGAAATATGGTGTCATCAACATAGCCTTGAAGCTCAAGCTCTTGGAATTCATTGAAAAACCATTTGAATGGGGACTATCCCTCAAAACCCTAGGTTAGATGGTGAGATGGATCCAATTGTGTCATTACCTATAATATAAACATCCAAAGAAACATATATACATATTTTAATGTTAGTTAAGAGTTAATCAACATAAAATGCACATGTACAAGATAGTCAATTCAAGGTGCTTGGTGATCCTTCAATAGTAAACTTAAAATATAGGAGGAAGTAGAAGAGAGAACCAACCCTAATGTGTGATCTTGATGTATTATGATGATATGAGATGATGAGAGATCTTAGGGGTAAAAATTGGGGTATAACAACTTGGTACACATCATGGTTCCTATTTACCAAAACCACTTCTGGCTCATTTTGACCCACATTATTTCCCTTGGTTATTAAAAATCCCTACATTTTTGGAACCTCTAGATTTTGAGCAGGCCTAACATTATGGATTTGAGGGATTGATAATATAGGCATTTGGGAAGCAATAAAGAAATCTGCAATTCGACCCATTTGGTGAGCCAATTGTTAATAACTATGATTTTTGTTTTAAATTAAAGGATTGAATACAATACCAATTTTTCATGTAAGCATATTAACTATATCATGTTTACTTTCATCCATTTGTTGCCTCATAGACATGAGAGAACTCGTAGTCAAGGATGTCATACCTTGAGGGGTGTATCCTAGTACTCCTTGTGGCTATGTCATTCGACTGGGGTTGCTTATGGAATAACCTGACACCAAGTATGGGTTAATAGGGGATACAATAGTCATTGCATTATCTACATGCATAGATGCAATGGATTGTAGGTCTGCCATCATTGTTATTGGTATACCATAAAGATAATCTCTACTGACAGAAGAAAGCTTTAAATTTAAAGGAGTTGAAGGCCTAAGGTCTCCTATTATTGGTTGTGCAACCCTGAGAGTAGTTAAAACACTTTTTCCTTGTGAACATGTAACTGCTAAATATGGCGATATCATTGAAACTGATATCTGATTTATAGATGTTGGAATTTCTGAAACGATTGTTGAAGTTCCTACATTGCCAACCGTCGAGTTAGGTGGTTGCTCTTCTATATTTGGAGCGTTTGGAGGATTGTTCTAGGCAGGGGATGATTCTTTAATGTCAACCGAGCCATTTCATGGAGTCTTACAACTCCTCAGACGCATACATATTCAAAAATTGAAAGCATTTCATGTATGAAGAACAATCAAACAAAAATAAATAATAACACACACAACACCTTTACAGAAGTTAAAACTTTTTGCACAAAGGGTTCCCATGGACGTGCCAATTTATTTACTGGTGTTTTTAGTAAATAATCACGATTTTAGTTAACTTAAAAGATTAACTAAAAAATTCTCAAGTACAATTTGTGCAAATGAAAAATACAATGAAAATTGTGAATGATTTGGATTTAAATATGTGGACAATAATAAACTGGATGCAAACAATAAACTTTGGATATAGATAATAAACGATAAACAAAGTAAATGGAATTTAATGTAAATTCTTTGAAAACATGACTTTAAATAAATAAAAGAGTGAGCACAAACTCATACATTTCTTACAAATTGTTTTGCTCTGTAACTTAGATTCTTTAATTCTATAGAGGATAAATGAGATTTTTGCGACCCTCGACCACTACACTGAGGTCCGTTTATATACTAATAAAATATTAACCGTCTACAATGGTTATCTCTACAGAATTTGTCACATATCCCTCTACGTGGACTTCAACCTATTGATTTACTTCCACACGTATTTAGCGTTCAAACTGCTGAAAACCCACTATTATTCTAATAACTGCCTTGAAAACCTTATAATTGTCTTTGTCGAGAGCCTCAAACTTATTTTCGTAGAGTTGTCAAAGCATCCTTGATTTACTTGATTCTTAGCATGAAACTATGCTAAGCCCCCAACATCTAATTGATGTGTCGAACTTGACACTTTGTCTAAAGTTTGCTTTGTGTAACTCTGTTCGAGATTTTGGACATGATTTGAAGAGAGAGTGATCCTAATCTTGTGAATTTGTTTTTGAGATTCTTCTAAACCATGCTTACTACGTTAGTCGAATCCTGTTGGTCGGTGTAGGCAGTGTGTCGAAGACTGAGTGTTTTAATACTTAGTCATTTTCCTCAAAGGTTGCTACATGAGGTTGGTTTGTTACTAGATTACATCGAGAATAATGGATATGAAATTTGATTTCGAGAACGATGATAAGTCGAGAAGGATTCATATCAATGGATCGAAGAGAGAATGTATAATTATGAAAAACACGAGAATCAGTAGTCGATTTCGGCAGACGACATCTCTCATTTGTTATCAAACTAGAATTGACTGGAGAATCGATATTTGCGATGGACCTGATCCACAGATGCAGATGAGGAAGGACTGACTTGCAAGATTAGCACTCCAACACTCAAGTTAGTATGTGAAGGAGAAGAGTGAATGAAATTTAAATTTGAAATTGTCTAGTTGAAATTAGCACGCGTCTCCTTTATATAATGGAGCGGTTATAACAATCTGTTATTCTGTAAGTGTGTGATGCAGAGAATCGTTGAATGTATCATAACACTGAATCACTTATAATCTACCGTATGGTAGTTCCTATATACTATGAGCAATTTGAGTGAATCATTGATCCCTTTAAGTCGTTGGTCGATGACCATTGAGTTTGATCCGAAACATATACTCTTGAAAATATCTTTTATGGGAGTTTTTTCAAATTCTTTGAAAGTCAGATATTCACGATATATTTTCTTGCTTTGTGATGTATTTTGAAATCTTTCTTTTGTTTACTTCTCATCTATTTTTTAGTTAGTGCAACACCAACTAGATTAATAGGAGCTGTATCACTCATATATGAAAACATTATACAACTTGTCCTTCCAATAATTTATTTCCAATTTATTGTTATTTTGGTTCCTTAAATCGAACGGGTCAAAAAGTCAAGATGTCAATCCATGTTGGGATAAGAGGTAACACCAGATAAACTAACCAATCTACCTCTCAACTTGGCATTCAAATCCATCACGTGTTTTGCACATGATCATCCCTGATAACATACCTGTCATTGCTTCCAACTTCCTACCACCATTTCTCTCTCTATGAATTCTGAGTTTCAGTAAATGAAGTGATGAAAAAGGAGATAAGCTTCAAATATGAAGGGAGTGCTCTCTCACATTCTTCTTCACATTACTGTGTTAATTCTGCTTCTTTTTCTATGTATGTCTTGTTACTGCAGATATATACTTCAATTTCCTATACACATTTTAATATCTTAAGCTAAACTTTTGCTTCTATGTATGTAGTTATGAACATGTCTCAAAGCTCTCCTATCAGTGCTGCAAAATACTCCTTTTCACCATTGATGCCTTTCACTAATAATTCTTTGCCTAAGTTATCAGGTATTCTTAGCTTCTTACATAGAGCCTCCACAAATTTAAGACGACTCTGGTGGAGCGGGTGGATTCGAAAGTGCAACAAACATAATATAGTAACTTATAATTTGAACTGCAGATTTAGACACAACTTTGTATTGTGTATGGTATGACACTAGATTTTATTTTTACATCCAGGCCTATGTTCATTGAATTTCTCAGCTGCTCAAGATATAATGACCAAAACTGCGACCGATTGCTGGACTTCCTTTGCTCCCTATTTGGCAAATGTTGTATGTTGTCCTCAACTTGATGCCATGTTGATAACCCTAATAGGCCAGTCAAGTAAATACTCAGGACAGTTAGCTTTGAACAAAACTCATGCTAACCACTGCCTCTCAGATATGCACAAGCTTTTGGTTAGTCAAGGAGCAAATGAAAACCTAAACACCATTTGCTCAGTTCATCCATCAAATCTCACAGAAGGCTTGTGTCCCGTTGCATCTGTCGACGAATTTGAGAGCATCGCAGACACTTCTAGACTTTTAACTGCTTGTAGAAAAATTGATCCTGTAAGTGAGTGTTGCAATCAAGTCTGCCAAAACGCAATAGATTACGCTGCTAGGAAAATCGCGTTGAATGATATGTCTAATTCAAATGGAAACCGTAGCTTGCCTCCCAAGATAGCTCGGATCAATGATTGTAAGAATATCATCCTACGTTGGCTGGCCGGAAAACTCAGTCCATCCACTTCAAATAGTGTTTTTAGAGGACTTTCAAATTGCAACCTAAACAAAGGTGAGCAAAGAGAAAAAATTTGCGCATTTTGGCTAATTTATCGGAATATAAGTTGTAGGACAATACATCTGACATGTTTATGTTCAATATTATAATAAATTTACTCAGTCTGCCCGTTGGTTTTTCCGAATGTCACAAGAATTGCGAAAGAATGTGGAAATATGATAAGAAATCAAACGACTTGCTGCAAAGCTACTAAAAGTTATGTGTCCCGTTTGCAACAACAAAGCTTTGTGACCAATCTTCAAGCCTTAAAATGTGCTGTATCACTTGGAAAGAAGTTGCAGAAAGAAAATGTCTCCGAAAATGTCTATGATCTTTGCCACGTAAGCTTGAAAGATTTTTCTCTTCAAGGTTGGTATTGCTATATATAATTCCCTAAATTTCTCATGAAACTTGTATTTTACCACTTCCACTGGTACTAATGTTCCTTGACGTTGGTTTTCACATCGCGGCATGGACAATTCAGTTGGATCACAAGGTACCATTTAAGAGTTGAAGTTCATGTTATGCAGCTTATATAACATCCTTTAGAAGACTGCATCAGATTTTCAACGAACTAACTGATAAACCTTTCATTTTGATCAAAGAATCTGGATGCCTTTTGCTGAGTTTGCCTTCGGATGCAGTGTTCGATAGAACTTCAGGGATTGGATTCATTTGCGACCTTAATGACAACATTGTTGCTCCATGGCCTACGACATCTTACGCGCTACAATCTTCATGCAATAGAAGTATGTCTAAGCTCTAATCCACTTATATAACTTGTTTTTCTTTCTGTTATCTTTATAATGACTTATGCATTTTGTTCATTGAATCCATTGCATTGCAGCTACAAAACTTCCATCACTTCCTACAGCAACATCTTCTCAAAATGGTAAGCACTATCATCCACACTTCTGTAATTGTAAGATATAAAAAATGTCTTCTGTCTTCTTTCATATTTACCTAAGACAAAACTTAGGCGCATTTCATCATGTGTTTTTCGCGCTTTGCTTCACTTAACATACTTATGAATATTAGAAGTGAAGAACAATGTGAAAAGTACCTAAGAAAATGCACATAGATTTTGTACCTATAAACATCATTTTACATTGACAATTGTCAAATTTGAATTTGAATTTGTTGCAGGTCTTTTCATTAACATCTTAGTCTTGCCTCCACTCTTCACCTCAATTCTACTTCTCAGGAAGCTTCTTTAGCAATATCATTGTTTCAATATCCATTGAAGTTATAAACATGTTATGTTTCCTTACATATAGATAATACAGAAAAAAGAAAAATTTTCCTTTCACTTGAAAAAATGTTCATCTGTAACATTTTGTAAAATAATAATTAAGTTCAAAGGAATTTTATTTTGAATAAATATCATTTGCAACTGATTTTCGACGCTATGTCGGTTTATGAGGGGGAACTTCTTGCAATTGTTTATGCTGTCCGAAAATGGGGATCCTACTTAGCTCATGGTCCCTTTATAATAAAAATTGACCAACGAAGCATTAAGCACTTACTGGAGCAGAAGTTGAATACTTCCTCTCAACAAGCTTGGGTAGCTAAGTTAATGGGTTTTGATTTTCAAATTAAATACATGAAAGGTTCAAACAACCTTGTTGTTGACGTGCTTTCAAGGAAAGAAGGTGTTGTGTTAATATCCCGGTATTTTTAAGATAGATGTCACAACATCAAAACACGATATCATAATTAATGTAAAGACATTATGTTCCTGATACAGTAATTTATAGAAGATATGAATTATGCAGAAAGTAAATTACAAAACATAAATAACACAATCAATTCTTAATTCAGACATAATTTGAGCACACATTAGCATGGATTTCATTAAAGGGTTACCTACTTCATCCGATAAACACATTATTTTTGTAGTAGTTGATGAATTGAATAAATATGCACATTTCATTGCTATCTCTCATCCTACACAATTGCCAATATAGCTAAACAGTTCATGGATAATTTCTTTAAACTACATGGTTTTCCTGATTCTATTAGTAGTGATAGAGATCCTATTTTTTTGGCATATCATCCTCAATCAGATGGTCATACTGAAATTGTAAACAAGTGCCTTGAAACCTATTTAACGTGTATGCGTGGAGACCAACCAAAAATTTGGTCTCAATGGTTGTCATTACTTGAATATTGATACAACACAAACACTCATTCTGTAACTCACACCACTCCTTATAAGGCAGTCTATGTTCAACCACCACCAATGCACCCTCCTTACTTGCTTGGAGCATCAACTATGTCTGTGATGGACATGACTTTACTAGCAAGGGAAGAGGCAATAAATTGTTCAAGTTTTATTTGATGAGATACCAAAATCGCATGACACAACAGGCCAAAAAACATAGGAGTAACTGACTGTTTGACATAGGGGACTGTGTGTACCTAAAACTGCAACTTGATGAGGACAAGGGTGTTCTTAAAGAGAAGGATACACTACTACGGAAAATACCTTTTGTAAAAAAATATTACAATGACCTCCTTATTAACCGTGATAATATCTCGTTTTTGAGTATTTTTCTTATTTTCATTTCTAAGCCACTTTTCACACGGTAGGAAGTTCCAACTGTGGTAAAAAATGGCGCGATGGTCATGAATTCAAATCTCGTTGTTGTTGTTGTGGTTGTTATACTGCTGCTTTTTTATATTTTATTATAAGACATACAACAACGGTTGTTTAATACAATCGTTGTTGTATGTAATATGCTATCCACTTTACTACTACGGTTGAAAGTTCCAACCGTGATGAAAAATCACTCAGGGTCATGGGTTCAAATCTTAGCACCTATAGTTTTATTTTATATATATTTTTAAGCCGCTTTTCACAACGGATAGAACTTCCAACCATGGTGAAAAGTCACTCAGGGTCATGGGAAATATAAACGTTTTTATTGAGTTTCTTCACCATCTTTAAACAAATCTTGATCGTCCATTTAGTGATTATCAACACTCAAGACTACCATTAGTGATCCGCATCAAACTGAAAACTTATATGGACTTCCAACTTAAACGAACTTCATCTTCTACCTCCAAACATCATATTTCATTTATGATACTCTATATCTCCACTAAGCCAAGCTTGAAAATATCATTTCTACCATAAATAAAACTCAAAAATATCATTTCTTTTATTAACAAATTACAAAACTCCATCATCTCTTCTCAAAATTGAATGAGACAAGGAAAATATGGATTCAAGTTAACAATATTAGTTGTTGTTATCCTTGTTGTTCTTTTTTTTGTTGTTATTGTTGTTGTTGTTGTTGTTCTTGTTGTTATTATTGTTGTTTTGTTGTTGTTGTTGTTGATGTTGTTGTTATTGTTGTTGTTAATATTGTTGTTGTTCTTGTTCTTGTTGTTATTGTGTTGTTCTTCTTCTTGTTTGTGTTGTTCTTGGTGTTCTTGTAGTTGTTCTTGTTTTGTTGTTGTTCTATTGCTACATTTATTTTATTTTATTAAAAGAAATGCAATAATGATTGTTTAATACAACTGTGGTTGTATGTAGTACGCTATCTAATTTACTACTACGGTCAATAAATCGTGATCCTAAATAACTCACTTACAACCATACCTTACCTAACAACGGTTGTTCAACGGTTATTATAAGTCTTTCACAACTGTTATTATATATGTTATTCATAGTAGTGGTATTGTGACAGCATGCACACTTTAGTAAATAAAATTTATTTTATTTCAAGTTTATCCTTTTACTATGTGGTTTCTAGAATGTAATAAGTTGTCAATTTAATAGTTAGAATGAAATTCATTAGTTTTCATAAGATTCCATAATACTAATTATTAGATATATGACCTGTGTGTTGCACGAGATTTATTTAGATCTTTATCTTAAATATTATTTTAAATATTTTATTAAATATAGTTACATATAAATTATATAAATAATAATAATAATAATAATAATAATAATAAAATAAAAATTGATTTCCTTTTAAACATTAAACAATTACCATCAATTTATCAAAAATCTCACTAAATAAGTCTACACATAATAATAATAATAATAATAATAATAATAATAATAATAATAATAATAATAATAATAATAATAATAATAATAATAATAATAATAATAATAATAATAATAATAATAATAATAATAATAATAAAATAATAATAATAAAAAAATAATAATAATTGATTCCCTTTTAAACATTAAACAATTACCATCGATTTATCAAAAATCTCACTAAATAAGTCTGACATGTTTTCAAACTGTCACCTCCAATTTATATATACACTTATTTCTTCCACACACAACTACTTTTTTTATTATGTATAATATATTTTTATCTCACATATTTCATATTTTATGGTCTACCACTCTATTTACATTATATTTAAAACTAAATAATTAATACAAAAAATATAATATATATATATATATATATATATATATATATATATATATATATATATATATATATATATATATATATATATATATATATATATATATATATATATATATATATATATATATATATATATATATATATATATATATATATATATATATATATATATATATATATATATATATATATATATATATATATATATATATATATATATATATATATATATATATATATATATATATATATATATATATAATACTTATTAGAACATATAATACAACTGAGATTTTGGAAAATATTAAAAAAATATTATTATTCATGTAATACAATGATACAATACTACTTAACTCCCTCAACTTAAATTTCAGGTGCCAGATTGAAATGTGATGATGAGAGAAGTGAGATATAATAAGGTAAGTATGTATATAAGGAATTCATGTAAAACTTATTTTTTATTAATTACTATTGAATGAAAAATGAAAAATTATCTAAATTACATAAAAGTGTATTATTTCATATTTAATTATCATTTTAGAATATGAATAATCAAAACTATAACTTGTCAATTTCAATACAATGAATTTTTTAATTCAACAGACAAAAAATTTAAAAAAATCATAAGTGTGGTAATAAATAGCGGTTAGTCAATAATAAAGAAAAAGAGATAATATTTTTTAATTAATAATTTTTTTTAATAATATAATACATAGTCAATATCGTCACATAATCCCTTATATATTTTATTTAATGAAATACAAAATATTTATACAACTTAAGTATTTCGTTTAAAATAAGTATCAAATATTTTTTAAATAATTTTTTTAATTCTATACAATAAAATATTTTAGAGTAAAAGACATTTTACTCAATTTCTTAACACAACAAACACAAAATATAATTAAATTAAAAAATATAATCAAGTTCAATGCAATCTACTTAAAAAATGATAAAAATAATATAATATAATATAATATTATATAATATAATATAATATAATATAATATAATATAATATAATATAATATAATATAATATAATATAATATAATATAATATAATATAATATAATATAATATAATATAATATAATATAATATAATATAATATAATATAATATAATATATTATAGTAATACTTGGACATCATAAAAAATATACTACTTCTTAGACCACTCATGTTTCACGTGAGAGACATCTGAATCCTCCACAATATCTATTTGATCTATAATATTGAACAAAAAATAGATAAATACTAATATAATTCTCTTTAATACAATCAATTTAAAAAATAAATTAAAACTTTTAAATTAACATAATATAAACAACTTCAATACTATGAATTTATTATGATAATGTTATTTTTATTCATTAAATTAATTTATACCATATCAATATTAATTAGATTTAAATTAATAATAAATTCAATCACATCTTATTAACAAAACATATAATATTTTTTAATATAAATCATCTTAGTTAACAAAAAAAATACAATAGTGGAAGGGCAAGTCCTATCCCACTTTATTAAGAAATGAAACAAAAGATAAAATAAATGACAAAAATAAAAGAAAATAAAAAAAATTTGAAAAGGTAAATTATAAATAAAAATTTAAATAATGAAGGTCAAAAAGGTTCATATTTCTAAATAAAATGTGATAGTATGTTCTATCAAATTAGATTTTGTAGGATATGTCATTGATTTGTCACCACTAATCCTAAGATCTGGAAAAATTTATATAAATGTTTCAGATAGAGTAGTACCCTCATGACCTAGATTTTCTTTGAATCTCTTGCATGTATTTGTTT